CAGTGACCCAGCAACACCAGTGTCCAACACACTGCAGGAACTGGGAGCACTGGAGTCTCCACACTGTCTCCGTCCTCTCCCAGTGACCACTCCTAAAGGTAAAAATGCAGTTTAAAGCTCCTTAGAGGGTACAGAGATGGTCATGGTTTGCATAACATACAAATAGGATCCGTTTGTGGTCAAAGCTATAGGCTTGTGCTGAGATGGGAACGAGCAGGTTACCGAGAGGTAAAATCCGGAAGATAGGTAGAAAAAGTGCTGTTGTGTTAACTGATTATTTCAATTTTCCTCTTGTACACTGGAGGATTGTGGTGCAGAATCAAGAAGCTGAAATGATCATGGTTTGAGTAGTCAATAATAGCTTCTTAAGACGTGACTCTCAGACGTGACTTACTTTGTCTATCTTTTCAAAACAGCTAGGATGTAATGAAGAGAACAGAATTAACAGGACCCACCAGAAAAGTCTGATCCCAATATGGTAACTTTTCACAGAGTTTTTTTTTTTTTAAATGTCAAAATCTGGAGTCTAAAAGGCATGTATGGAGAGTGTATAACTCTGCAGAAAGAAATTGAACCCAGGGCCCCAGCCCTAAAACACGGTAATGCTAATCTGTAAACACGGTGCTACATGTCTTCTTACACGTGCTTATTTAAGGATATACAAGACATTTCAGACTAAACGGTTATTAAATAAGAAGGAAGAGAACTCTTTATAGACAGTGTAAAAGGAGCTACGAAGAGAGTAAAGATAATGAACATACTGAGATACAGATGCCACAAATCTATGCAGAGGGTTGGTTTGTGGAGCGGAAAACAGGAAGCAGGAAGCTGTCTCAGCGGGCGAAACCTTCATCGAGACAGATGGTGTACCGCTGTCGCTCCTGGATTAGAGCAACACTTCAGACTGCGGTTTAGTTAGTAAAGAAGTAAAACAAGCCCTGGTCCGAGTGTGTGCGCGCCCTGTGATAAACTGGCGTCCTGGCCAGTCGGTACCCCATATTCTGTCCGTTGCTTACTGGGATAGGCTCCGGTTCCCCCGTAACCCTGAACTGGATGGATAGTAAACTAGCTCAGTTTACAATTAAATCTGAAACTATGGGACGTAGAAACGCTGATGTGAAAATGAGACAGAAATCATTTATTTTGCAGAATTAAAGCACATTAAATTTAACATGTATAATTGCAAAACGAGTCATGCGTTAAGTAGAAACGTGCTCTGTACGTGTTACTATACCTATACACTGGAGGTGGTGGAGGGGAGTCCCTATTACCTGTAAAGCGCCTTGAATGGAGTATCCAGAAAAGCGCTACATAAGTGTAAGCAATTATTATTATTATTATTATTATTATAATAATAATAATAATACCACATTCTCTAGCCATCACATGGGTTAGTCTGAGCCCTAGTGGGATACGCGTTACAGGGTTTTATATATTCGTCTATGTGCAAAAGCGAGCACCATGCTTATGTAGAAAAAGGCTTGTATTTAAAACAGATGGGAGTTATGTTCCGACTTTGCAACTCTCCAGCAGTAGTTTTCTTATTTAAAAAATGTCGTGTTCAATGTAATAATCCGAACGAGGTCCAAACAACGGAGCGAGGGCAGGGACGATAAAGGGGTATTTAATACAGACCCCAGACACAGTTTTAGCCTTTCGGGCAGAGTTCGTGCCACAGCCGGGTTTCCGTAGTGTAGTGGTTATCACGTTCGCCTCACACGCGAAAGGTCCCCGGTTCGAAACCGGGCGGGAACAGCTGCTTTTATTTTATTACCCCTATGGAATGTGAAGTAACTCTTCCTATTAAACAAGAAATACATTAATCGTGCGTGTGAAATATGAATTTGATCCGGCATCATAATTTCCGGTGTGACATAGATTTTCGGGGGAGAATAGAAGGCAACATTTGAACATCTCATCGGAAATTAACTATAAAACCAGTAGCACAAAGTGTTGGAGGGAGAGTCGAGGAGGTTTCCGTAGTGTAGTGGTTATCACGTTCGCCTAACACGCGAAAGGTCCTCGGTTCGAAACCGGGCGGAAACACTTTTTTTGTTTGTTTTGCTGAGAAGCCTTGTAGAAGGCGCTTTTAAAATTGAATTTGAACCGTATTTCGAAGCTCAGTTCGAGCTCCAGTACCTTGAATAGCAGCGAAATGTGCTCGGTAGAGTATGTTGCTCCGTTGTCAAATATATACATTTCAAATATAAGCCTGTTTTGTTTTTAATGTTTTTTTAATAGTACCGTTATAAAATGTTCTCGTTTCCCCAGAAGTATAATTGTTAAGTACCGTTGCTGAAGTGTAATGCTTTTATATACCACTTAGACGCGTCACAGCTGTGTCAATTGCATTGAATTGTACTTCACAACTTTTACGTTTTAGAAGATTGAGGATAATTCTGTAATTTATATATTTCCAAAAAGATTGAGTTTTTTTCGTTTTTTAAAGTGCCATGACAAGAAAATGGTTCAGTGTCCCGTGTTTGAAGAGGTTAAATCTGAGAACATTCATAAATATGCCTTTGAGAAAGATTTAAAAATATACTGTAATTGTTTTTTCGGAAATGTATGATAAAAAAAATCCATATATATATCAAACGTCATCACATAAAGATATTAATTGTATTAATAGTGTGATCTACTACTGATATCGAATACAACAGCACTAAGTTTCCGTAGTGTAGTGGTTATCACGTTCGCCTCATACGCGAAAGGTCCCCGGTTCGAAACCGGGCGGGAACAATTTTTTTTTTTTTAGAGAAAAATATCAAACACTCAATTAAATAATTTTCTAATTTAGTTAGAATTTAGCATTGTAATGTCCAATTTTAGGAGTTTGAAATGTTTTTAATTAAAAAAATAAAACCCACTACCTCTGCTGCACTGACTTAAAAACTGACTGTTTATGTTTGAAGAGAACTACAAAACATCTTAAGATCTTTAAACGATAAAGGGTGAAACCAACACAAAAACATTTACAGCTCAAATTATTCCTAACTCGCCACAGGCGAGGACGACTGCAAGGGAAACAATCTCAGCGCCGGGCCCTGCTCCAGCCGCCCGGCAGCTCTGTATCCAGAATGCACCGCGGACCCTCGCCTGCTCTTTTTTAGTTCTGCTTCCGGGTCGAGTCTTCCTCTTTCCTGTGCCTGTAAGCGAGAGGAGCAGGGCGGCGGTAGCCTCCGATCTCAATCTGAGTCCATCCTCCCTGAAAGGCACCGTGTATCTTCGCCAAAATGACCGAGCAGATGACTGTAAGGGGGACCCTGAAGGGTCATAATGGTTGGGTCACCCAGATTGCCACTACCCCGCAGTTTCCCGATATGATTCTGTCTGCTTCCAGAGGTAACCCGGCCGCCGCCATCATTGCCTTGGCTATTCCGGTGGTCTACGTGGTAGAGTGATTTACAGCATAAAACGTGTTATAATGCGTGAGCATGAGAGTAGATTTAGGAAAGTGCTTAAATTATTTTCACGTGACGTTTAGTAAATACAAGATCGTTTTTTTAAAGCAATGCAACATTAAAACGTGACGCCTGGACCCGAGAGAAGGTCCGAGTGTCAGAGGGGGCAGACACGTGTGTTTCAGAAAGTCGTGAGGCACAGGCTGGGATCTTTTGTTTCTGCTGATGAAGGACAGAGTTGTGAAAGCGGTTCACTTCGCGCTTGTAGGCCGGCTGCGCTGTAGTGCAGCATCTCGCAGATCTTGGCGTTGGACCGAAAGGCCGCCGTGGCGCCGGGCGCGTTTCCCGGTCTGGTCAGTGGCGCTGAGGCGCTTTTTGTCCGGCTCGACGTGTGAAGTGCGTCAGACGAGTGGTCGGTAGCGGAGCTGATGGCCATGTAGTTCTCGGTAGACAGTAACGTGCTTCCTTAGCGAGATGATCGCTGGGCTGTTGATGTTCTGCTGGGCCGGGAGGAAAAAGAAGTTGGGAGGCGCAATTTAAGCTTGGATCTGATTTGAAGCGGGATATGCGTTGCTTAGAGTTGGGTTCGGTCCTTAGAAATAACACTTTCTGTTAAGGCACTGGTGTTCATTTTGAAGAAATGTTAGTTCAGCGTGTGGACAACACTCAGTGCAGTTTGTACACTGCTGGGCATCCGTTCCACATGTCCTGCTTCTGCAGAGGCGCATGATGGGAGGTGAAGCTTGAGCAGTAGTCAGTAGTAGATGAGGGATGAAAAGATTAATTTTAAACCAGTGCAGTGCCTAGTGGGCAACAGGGCCTTCTCTCTTCCCTCCCCTGAGTACCTGTTTGATTGTGCTTGGGCCTCCAGACAAGTCCATCATCATGTGGAAGCTCACCCGCGATGAGACCAACTACGGCATCCCCCAGAGAGCCCTGCGCGGCCACTCGCACTTCGTCAGCGACGTGGTCATCTCCTCCGACGGCCAGTTCGCTCTGTCGGGATCCTGGGACGGCACCCTGCGCCTCTGGGACCTGACAACGTGAGTGAGCGCGGACGCAGAGAGGGCTAGGTTGGTGGGGTGGCTCTTTCACGCCCTTCCCTGCAATTATCTCCACACGCTCAATGACTGGGTGGCTGTGCGTTTGTCTCCATTAAGCCAGTGGTCCCTAGTCCTAGTGACCCACACACCTGTGGGTTTCCATCCTATCCCGCCTTCATTAGTTAATTCATTCCTTACACTTATATAGCGCTTTTCCTGGCAGACACTCCAGTCAAAGTGCTTTACAGATCATGGAGAATCCCACGGCTGCCACCAATGTGTACCTGAATGATGCAGCGCCAGTACTCTTGCTACACACCAGCTCTCAGTGGGGAGGAGAGCAGAGTGAAGCCAGTTCATAGATGGGGATTTTTAGGAGGACATGAATTGTAAAGGCTAAGGGGGAATGTGGCCAGGACACTAGATAATTTAAGCCTTAACTGACCTAAGAAGTTGCTTTGTGTGAATATTTGCATTTAGTTTTTCCGTCATGAGTTTGGGGCTTTATTTCACTTGCGAACTAATAACGGTTAAAGCTCCAACATGTTTAAGACCTGGGAATAAATGGTTCAAATTAATCTTATTATTATAAAGTCAACAAAGGGTTTGATTGTGTCACTGGCTGGAATGGAAACCAGCATATATTGCACATCAGCTGTAAACAGGAAAACCGTCTGTAAACTGAGAATTTGCGTGTGTCTGCAGAGGCACGACTACCCGTCGCTTCGTGGGGCACACCAAGGACGTCCTGAGTGTGGCCTTCTCCGCCGACAACCGGCAGATCGTGTCCGGGTCGCGCGACAAGACCATCAAGCTGTGGAACACCCTGGGAGTCTGCAAGTACACCATCCAGGTCAGGAGGCTCGACGTGACCCGCTGGAGCGCTCTCACTCGGCCAGCATGTGCGCTCGCCTTCGCCACCTGCCCCGTCACTGTGTGCAGGGAGGCGAAAGCGCAGGGAGTTTCCACACGTGTCCCAGTGATTACACATCTCACGGTCCTATCGTCCGAGCCTTGTGGCCGTGACGACAAGTCCTGCAATTATGACGGGACGTTGTGGAAATCGGAAACGGGCTTCAGGCTTTAGCGTTTCTCAACTCGAAAGCTGCTCTGCATTGTTTTGTGGGGACTGTTCCTATAAAATGGCGAGGCCTTGATGTTTGTTAGCCTTAACGCAGTGGAATTCACAGTCGTGAAGGAGAAGTTCAAGTGGGTAGCTGTGTCCGCGTGCATAGGCTGCAGAAGAACAAGTAAAGGTTTATTCCAGGCTGAAAAAGAAAAGGGACTTGACGTTTCGACTGTGGCGCCTTCTGCAGGTCAGAGGGCTCCACGGCGGAAGTGTTGTCCATTTTCTTTTCAGCCTGGGATAAAGCTTGACTTGCTCCAATGAAGGCGGAGGGCAGCAGAAGAGCAGTAGTGGGTATTGAGGTTGACTGACCCCTTGCATTTTGATGCTCTGTGTTGTAGGATGAAAGCCACACTGAATGGGTCTCCTGCGTGCGCTTCTCCCCCAACAGCAGTAACCCCATCATCGTCTCCTGTGGCTGGGACAAGATGGTCAAGGTACTCGTCGACCAGCTGGAAACAGCCTTCTAGACTAGGACCCTACATCTGATCCGGGGAAACTGCAGGCTATTGGAGTGATTGCAGTCTATAGGCGACACGTCTACCGTGTTGGATGGCTAATGGCTCTTCAAGGGAACTTGTCCCAAACTCCCATAGTCCTCTATGCAAAATGTGCCTCTTAAATATAGTTTCCACTTGCACATTTTTGATTTTGAGAAGTGGGTCCCCTATTAATCGTCTCAGGATTCCAACTTGGTCACTGTACAAAGTTCCTGTGGGCACAGGAGAGAACCTGCACTGATTACAGAGCGGCAGTGTCGCCTTTCTGCAATAATTAACCTTTAGAAAAGTGTTCCTTTTGGAATTTTAACAGTCTTGGATTCAATTATATAATTTTGCCCATTACTGCAGTTTGTCTTTCATTTTCTGCCGTCTTGTTCAGGGTGTGCACATTTCTATTATGCTTGTTCAAGACATGGGGAATACCTTTAGTCAGAAACTGGTCATTTAAATGACTATTACGGCACATTTATTTTTTGGGGGGGGAGCTCAATAGGCTTTGTTTCCATGTACATCCCAATGATTACACAGTTCATGGTCCTATCGTCCGAACTCTGAGGTTGTGACGACAAGTCCTGCAATTATGATGGGATGTGCCTATGGAACATCAGCAGTCTTGGTCAAGTGTTCAGCTCATTGCGGACTGGAAACAGCAGAAATACCTGTGAGTGGAATCCTGAGTGTTTAAAAAATGTATTTCTAGGTTTGGAACCTGGCTAACTGCAAGCTGAAGACCAACCACATCGGACACACGGGCTACCTGAATACCGTCACTGTCTCTCCAGATGGTTCTCTGTGCGCCTCTGGGGGAAAGGTAACTGAAATCCCTGCAGCTGGCAGAGGGGGTGGGAGTGAAAATCTGTCCATGCTCTAGTTTCTGGAACTGGACAACCCTGAAGTCAACCCTGCAGACTGCAAGTACATGTCACAGTCTGGTGGTGTTAATGCAGTGGTTTCGTGATGCTGTTCTTGTGAAAATGTATTGCTTCAGCTCCTCTTAGGCTGTGAAAGCAGTGTGATTTGCTCTTGTAAACCATGCTGTGCTTCATTTAACTGATGTGACCCGAAGAACTTGGTGCACAAGTGTTTTCTGTAAGGCAAGTGCAGGGCGTTTGTAAGAGTGGCAGGGGAAAGATTGTTCCCAAAAGAAAAACCGGTTTGGCCTCAAGCCGGGAAGGAAACATTCACTGCCATCTGTTTCATTTGGTGATGATAAAGAGGCTGTTTCTGAGCACGTTTCTGAGTTTGGGTACATTCCCTTCATTTGACTGCATTCTGTTTTTTTTTTATGCAACCACTTGGAAGAGTTAATCAGATGGTTTAAAATAGAACACCAAGAAGCATGCATCCTTTATTAATTTTTTTTTTTAGATTTAAGGTTTTTTTTTTAGATTTAGTAAGTTAAACTTGAGCCCCTCAGGCTGGTTGATGAGAAAGCTGAGCAGATCCAGCCTGCGCTGTCCGCCTGTCCTAACCTTTCCTCTCGCACCCGGGCGCTGCAGGACGGGCAGGCGATGCTGTGGGACCTGAACGAGGGCAAGCACCTGTACACCCTGGACGGCGGAGACACCATCAACGCTCTATGCTTCAGCCCCAACAGATACTGGCTGTGCGCCGCCACTGGCCCCAGCATCAAGATCTGGGTAAGGCTTGAGCACGCACTGGGGTGGGGAAGATCCTCGGATATCGGTGGCCTTTCTTTGGGCTGATCACTGCAATCATCCTGGAAGGTTTCTGTATTCATGCTGCACACAGTACCAGTGTTCTTGTTTAACCAGGGTTTAGAGCTGTGTGTTAATGTCTCGAAGCCTAAGAGCTTTCATTTGTCTTTTCTCGTCAGTGTGGGATAAAGTTGATCTCTGTTGTTGTAAGTGGGATTTGCTTGGTAAATGTCCTGGTAGGGGAGGAAAAAAAGTCTTTGTTTTCAAAGCTTGTGTGGAAATCCAGTGAATTGAACAAAAGCTTTAGTGAAGTGATTTCTGTCCGCTGCCATGTTGCACAGCAGGCCAAACACAGAGAACAGAAGCTGTGATGAGACTTGTAAATGCCATCTGCAGTTCCTTGATGATAAAGAGGCTGTTTCTGAGCAGAGTTCTTTGTGTTTAGAGTCTGCAAAAATGGGTCTCAGGCACAGGACCTGCAATGTTTGGCTCCCTCAACTGTGTACTTTCTGCGATTATTCCAAATATCAAGCATGTTAAAAGCTAATGGGAATTTAGTTGGCAGAGACATATGTTCAATTGGTTACTTATTTGTACCCATTTATTGGGATAGACTTTGGATTGTTGCAGCTTTACCTGAAATAAGTGGCTGTCTGATGATGAAACGAATCATCCCAGTCATTTTTCAAATTTCTTTACATTTCACGGACAGATAAAAGAAAATGAAAAGCCTGTCAGGATTGTGTGTGTGGGGAAAGACACGGGTTGTAATCCTTTAAATTGAACCCATCTCTCTTTGAATAAGTGTACTTGAATAATGCATCTTGGAAATAAAATTGGAGGCCGTGAGGACTGTGGATCACTCTGTTGAAAAGGTGGACCCATGCCTTTGTATTCTGTGCACTTTGGGTGGATGCGTCCTGGGGACCTGACCTACATGACTGTATTCCTTTTCCAGGACCTGGAAGGCAAGATCATTGTGGACGAGCTTAGGCAGGAGGTGATCAGCACCAGCAGCAAGGCTGAGCCCCCACAGTGCACCTCCCTGGCCTGGTCTGCTGATGGACAGGTACTGTGCTCTTGTGCTTTTCACAGCTCACCACAGGCAGAGACAGGAGTGCTATTGTGCTGTTCCAGCATACACTCATTCATAAATGATGCAGAGAAGGAATATACTCTGTCCTAGGCTAGCGTTTCCCAACATTACCTTTACGTTTCAACACCATTACAAATACACTTTTTTTTTTAGTGTTTCAATTCCAGATTTAGGCATCAGGGCGGTTGAGAAGATTGAGGTTCGTTGTGAGATTCAAACGCAGCCTCGTTGCACGCAGAGATTTCAGACTCAGTCCTTCACCTCCGCAATCTCGCCTGAATTGGGACTGGTTTGTCACAGCGCCAGATTTTCTCATCGAAATTTAATTTCAAAATGTTTTTAGTTAAAAGGTATACCTGTTGCATCGCACACATTAAAAGGAGAGTTTCTGAACTGGCGATGTTGAGAGAGCTGCCTAAAGGGAATAGGAGTTGCTTACTCACCAGATCACCCCCCTGTGATTTTCACCATTCACGGTAGTGCTCTGAACTGCATTGCTGACAAGTCCTGCAAATCTGAGGGGGCTGAGAGTGTAAACAGTGCTGGGAAAATATGAGGCACGGCTGTCTGTACTGCTCTCTTTTCACTGACGCTCTGCAGCCTGCTGTTGCAGATCTGGCCGCGCCACCTTAACCTGTGGCATACATTTCATATCGGTGCAGAATTAAAAGTACAACATGGATGTCCAAGATATTTAAAGGGTTTTCTTTCTGTCTTTGCAGACTCTCTTTGCTGGCTACACTGACAACCTGATCAGAGTGTGGCAGGTCACCATCGGAACCCGATAAATGTTTTCTAAGAAAATGGAGAGAACTGCAAAGAACTGTCATCCTTTAATAAAATCTGTTGACATTTTGGGGGATTGCTTTATTTTTTTCTGAACCCTTTGTATCTTGCAACACAAGGCATTTGATCCATTCATATCCTAGGGCACCCGAGTTATTTTTTCAACTGGCAAATGTTGTCCTCTGAAGTTTAGTGACAAGTGAAAATAGGTTAAAAGGGTATACATCTTATATTTTTGTACAGGAAAAAATGTACTTGAAACAGGATTAATCTGAACTTGATGTTAACTTCTGATGTAACAGAAAATGTAGATCTTCATGGGAATTGAGATCTAATTTCATGGTTTGGATGCTTTAAAAACCTTTTTTTTGTTTTCTGCTCCTGTTTTACCCCTCGCAAGAAAACATTTTTTGAATTTTCTCTGACACAGAATGTTTTTGACGGGTCACACCTCGACTAATGAATACCTCAAGATTGCGTAGCCTGCTGTGTGTTCCTCATTGAAACTAGATGCTTTCAAGGGATGGACAGTCCTTTTCTAGTTTATTTCTTTAAAGGCAGAAGCAGCTGTTCTAAACATGTAATACAATTTGTGGTTCTGACCCGCTTTGTGACGATGGTCCCAGTTGAAATCGGTTTCAACCTCCCCACCATTCAGATGACAAATCTGGCGCATTGCTTGCAGTTGGTCTTCACTGGAGAAGCAAGAAGCCTTGGTCACGCAGCACACTATGAGTACCAGTGCCCCAGTGTGATGAGCAAGGACACTGTGCTGCTGGATGTGGAGCTGCAGGTCCTGACTGCCTGGCTGGGTTGGAGCCACGTTTGTAAGAGCAGGGGTGTTAAAGATGGGCTCCCACCCAAAGCTTTTTCAATGGGAAAAGCATGGCTTCTTCTCTCCCTGACCTGCTCTGTAGACGGGCAGCTAGAAGATGCCTGATTCCATGTGTTATTCCTATAGGTGTGGAAAGAGTTTAAAATACACAGCTGCTACCTGCCAATGTGGCACCAGGTACAGTAGATGGAAAACACCTTGGGGTTATTCGAGAAGTTGTACATGGGCAGGGGTGTGTTCCTCTGTAATAGACTGGAGTCCTGTTAAGGGGTATTTACCCTCCTCGGTTGTTGGAAGCCTTACTAGGAATACAAGAAGCTTTCTGATTTTTTAGGTTTAAAGGGGGGCGGGTGTTTCTAAAGTAGTCATTATCAAGCAGGAAACATCGGAGTGTCCTACTGGCAAAGGGTATAAAATCTACATGCCAAGCAACGCTCTCGGAATGCTAACAGCGAGCGTTATTAATAAGCGGTTGTGGAAAGTTGAACATTTCTTGTCCTCGGAGTCGGCATTCGTTTAAAATTGAGGCCCCGACGGCTCTTTTTAGGATAGGGTTTCCCATCCGGAATAGTTTCCAAACTCTTGGAATGAACATTACTGTACATACGTGCTCACTAAGCATTACGGAAGTGGCTACTGGGCAGAAGCCACTGTAACACAAGGAACAGGGTTTTCCGGATTCTGCAAACGTGTAAAACAAAAGAGAAATGGAAATGCACTCAGGTTTGTGTGGCAAGCAAGGAAACAGAAGGCAGCACACCACCAAGAGCACCACAGGCCAGAAACAAAAGCGTCAGCTGGTACCTCGGTCTCAGGCACTGTTCGGGACAGCGGAGAAAGGAGTAGCAAGCTAACATTATGGGCCATTGTCGTCGTGGTTTCAGGCTGGGACTTTCCATCCTCAAACGAGTTTCTCTTGATGGTTTAACACCCCTTTTTACAGCTGTGAACTTAATAAATGCCTAGCTCATTATAAACTTTGCTGAGCTCTTACCTTTGGATAAATACTGTAGAAAGTCACCCAATAAATGATAGAATTGAGTTCGTAAGAGAAAAAAAAAAACACTCGAACATCATCTGCTTTGCATAGCCCGTCCAGCACGGCCAGCTAGTGCTTCGATGGAGGTAGTTTGGCCCGAAGCTGTTGCCGTAGATTGCTGTATCCCAGCAACCGAAGTCGACTCCAAGGTAACTCAGCGAAATAAGCTTTCACGCAGCAATCTCGGAAAGGGAGCTTCAAAACGTTGATGGCATTTAACAGATTAATTAAAAGACAGGTGTTGTAGAGGTGTGTAACCATTTTTAGGTTGTATTCATACAAGGATTTAGCTCACTGGTAAGTGGTTAAACTTTCTAAGCTTCACCTTGCAGGGATTATTTTGAGTGTTTAAATTGTAGTGGTAGTAGCAACGCGAGAAGTTAAGTGTATTATAGCGAAAGAAATGTGCAAAGTAAATTACTAGCAATGCGTGAATTAACAGATGAAAGCGATCAACTCCTACAGGAGTTAGGACGGCGGAGCTCAACTGCGACTCCGACTAGATACACATTAGTTTGTTCCGATACCTAACCCCCGCCCCACATCTTCAAGACCTGGTAGACAGGCTAAATTGCAGATCATGGTCATTTCAAACATGCAGCTTCCTTGAGGACTGCTGGCGCTTTCTGTGCCATTAAACACATACGCAACTGTTATTTTTTTTAAGTAGAATGATGTTTCCACAAAACATCCCCGATCTGATATGTTGCTGCTTGCGCCTCGTTAGAGTACCTTGTGGCCATGGAGGACATGCCTGCTCCGCGGATATACGTCGAAAGGACGTTGGCTTTAATCAAACCCGATGCCGCCGACCGAGCGGATGAAATCGAAAACATCATGCTGAAGTCCGGCTTTGCCATTTTACAGGTCGGTGTCTCCTCTCAAGAGTCCACCTTTTCTGCGTACAAATACATTAAAAAGACATCTCCTCCAAATTGCTAGGGTGGACCGTTGTTGAATTACTGATGAGTTAACGTTTCGCAAATTTTAAGCAAGGTGTAATGTTGGAAATGCATAGCAAAATGAGCAGTAGAGTCTATATTTACGATTACTGCTACTGAGCAGAATACACAATCCTTTAGTGCTGCTAATATTGTTTCAGCTTGAGGAACTTTATTCACTTACAGTTCTGAAAGTATTATAGAAGCATCTGAACGTAAACATTTTGGGAGACAAATTACGGTCCTAGTTTATCTTAACCCAATCAAGCCTAAACAGCACGTTCAAAGTATTATAATTACAATGCAGTAGGTTAAAGGAGGTTTTCCTATGATTTTACACATGTAAATATATCCAGTCTCCCTACTTAAGAGACCATTGCGTTTAGAAACCTGCTTTTCTTTTTAAGGAATATAATGGGTGACTGGGATATGCATAATGTATATGTTGAAGATACAAATGACTGAAAAGGATTACATCACTGATGGAGCTGTGTGCTCCTAGCATGGGAACTGTTTTTACTTTTGCAGAAAAGGAAGGTCCACCTGAGCCCAGAGCAGTGCAGTGACTTCTATGCAGAGCAATATGGCAAACTGTTTTTCCCCAGTCTAACTGCCTTCATGAGCTCTGGGCCCATCACCGCCATGGTGCTAGCCAGGGACCAGGCCATCGCTCATCTGAAGCAGCTGATGGGACCGGCGAACAGTACCAAAGCCAAAGAGACCCACCCAGAGAGGTAAGGCGGGGCTCCGCGGAAATCTTTCGGAAACGGGACAGTGGAGTTTGGGGACCTCACACAGCTGTCCTGTGGTATTGTTGTGCTCTTGCTTGCAAAATGATCATCGCTCGTGTGTGTGTGTGTGTGTGTGTGTGTGTGTCTCTTGTACATTTTCCAGTTTAAGGGCCATCTACGGAACATCCGACTTGAGGAACGCAGTGCATGGAAGTGAGAGCTTTTCCGCAGCGGAGAGAGAAATACAGTTCATGTTCCCCGGGTGTAAGTGTCTCGTTTGAAGTTCATCTCCCAACGATTCAACTCATAAAAGCATCATGTGTACCCTTGTGTTTAAGGAAAGCCAAATGCACGTTATTCACAAAATAACATTTTCACTGTGACTTACATTTTGATACCAATTATATTACCCAAAGTACCAAATGCCTGAACGTGAGTTATATAGTTATACAGTTCTTATTGACAAAATTGTCAAAAAATAATATCTACTGGATTACTGTGTACAAAATAAGGGTAATCAAATGTCAGGCTGGTCTGTTCATTATTTCTAACAAAACTATCCATACTGTTTTATCTTATTTCTAGCTATTATTGAGCCTATTCCATTGGGAAATGCAGCTAAGGATTACCTAAGCAGATTTGTAAACCCCACACTGCTTTCGGGACTGACAGAACTCTGTAAGAGAAAGCCAGCAGATCCCTTTGTAAGTTGAAATATTGCGCAGTATTGCTTACGTCTTGCAGGGACTAGAAATGATTTGTTTGGACCTGTAATTATGCAGTTGCATAATTTCCCAGTGAATTGAGAATTTATCTCATGCTGCATTTTTTTTTTTTACCAACAAACAGCATTCACATTTGCAATTTAGCAAATCACAGAAAATGTAATGAAACTAAAAGCCAAAAGCAAAAGACATTTCTGCAAAAGGGAGTCATAGACAATTCTGTAAAATAATGTGTTCTACAAAGTGCTTTTAAACTATGGTCTTAAAGAAGCAAAAAAGAAATTAAAAAAAGACTAGACGAAATCCAATAAAACTATGTGGAATCTAAATTTCAATTGCAGTGTACAAACCTTGAAGTTTTGTTTGATTAGTGGATGGGTCAACGTTCTAATTAATCCGAGCCCCACTCTGCTGTCATGACTAATACCACATTATTCAAATACATGCACACTTAATTGTAGGATTGGCATTAAGGTAGTGCTTCTGATTATATTAGTTCTTGTCTTATTTGTTGTATTTATATTTTCAAAGACCTGGCTTGCTGATTGGCTTATAGAAAATAATCCCAATACGCCTAAAGTTCAAGATGGAGTGATGACTGAAGAGGTAAAGGAGGAGTTATTCACCACCGACCACAAGACCAGCAAGTAAAGATAGATAGCAGTCAGTACAATGCAGTAACACTTTTTTTCCTTGTTGCTAAGCTAGGGACAATAAATGATTTTTCAAAAAAGTATTGCTTGCCAAATATTTGTCAGTAGATTTCTGTTTTGTACATTTGGTATTGAATTAATGTGAACTAGAAACTGACAGTTTCTATTGTTGCTAATATTCTCAGTGTAAAACAGTTGTGTGTAGTTATTAAAATGCCTTTTATATTAGAAACAATTGTTTCTGTTTTTTTAAGCAGGGATCTTTAAAATAATTTACATTCATTATTCAGATAAACGCCTGCCGTCTCTGAACTTCAAAAATGGCAGAAAAGCATACGGCCTTTGATTACAAAGGTCTGGAGGAATGGGTGAAAGTTGTAGTGTTTATGGAAGATGAGTCTGGACTTTTAGCACTGCAGCTGATTGTGATTAGGGGGTCAGAAAATGGATGCATTTGGCAAAAGCTTTAGGGACTGATCTTGTAAGAATTTAAATTCTAATAGTAACTCAATCACCCCTCTAACGGGGACCAACGACTGCTTTCTGGGAGGAGTAAGTTACACCCATGATAACAAGGGTGTGTCTCCATGTGCAGAAATTGTGTGTATTAAAAATAAAAACAAACTGTTAATGGGATAATCAAGAGACTTATTTCCCTTAATTGGCCTTTTTTATCCAGATCTGAGAGAATCTTTACAGGGTGCTCAAGAGCATTCCAGTTTAGAATATTTTCTTTATTTGGAATTAAGCCTTTAAAGAGGAACACTTTGTGATTTGAGGGGGCATGAGATTTAAATCTGAATATGTCCTTCTTAAGTATGCTTTTTGTCCTGTACTGAGAGATACTGTAGTGTATATGAGTAATGAAGCTGATCAGAAATCACTGTGGTAAAGTGCGACAGTGTGTGCATTTGTGGTTCTTCCCACTGAAGCGGTCCGCCTGCTAAAAAGCTTGAATCCAGTTCAAGGTGAGGATATGCTTGCTTACCTTGTAAAGTTGAATAATAAAATGATGTCAGCTGTCCATAAAAGACCAACCATATGTTAAAAGACTCAGTTCTCTTGGTGAAATTCTAAGCTTAAGACAGAAAAGAACCTTCTTGCTATATTTAGTATTTTTTCCAATGATGTATAATTAATTAAATAAATAAATGAATGTGATAGATTTCCATCTGTGGGTGTGAGATAAGCATAAATTTTATTTGGCTGCTGTTGTCTCGCTCTCAAGACAAATTAAGACCTGCAATTTCACTTGATACGCGTAATACTGTGCTACTGATGTACATGTCAGAGGACATTAATGGACATCCCATGCAGTGCTGCAAGATTTCTTTATCATTTAATGTACTAATCCTTACGTAGTGCCTTAGTCTTATTTGTAATCTGGAGATCCTGTTCCATATTCTGTTTCTAATTATGTTATTGGAGTGTATATCGACTATATGAGTGGATTTAAAGTATATGCAGTCTTATGTCTAATTTCTAACCGTAATAAGCACATTAAAATTAACTGTGGAGACTATGAATTGATTTTCTCATTTCAAACATTTCATCTGAATGGCTCTTTAGAGTGAAATTTTTTCTTTGGTTTTACATTGATACAATATTCATAGTGGTGCTATCCCTGTACATGAGATGTTTTACAATACATTGATATGAAAGTGTAAAAGTTGTGTTTTCCAAGATAGAATGTTTTCCTGAAATGTTGGGAATGCTGAGTGGTGTTAAATATACAATGAGAAAACAATAATGACTCGAATGGATTCTGAAAGGTATATAGTTGTGCTTTACCTTTCATTTAAGGTGACTGTGTGCACCTTCCTAATTGCTATGAAAAGTGTTTTTTTTTTTGGCCTAAACCTTGTAAAATATAAAAGTCTATTTTGTAACTAGGTGACTTATTAATTATGCTATATAGGAAAAAAGGCTTATCATGTATGTATATCATGTATCACTATGTTAGTACAAGCTTTTGTTAGTGAAATACTGGAATATTTTAATATTCTGTTTTTTAGTGTGTTATGATGTTTTAATTGTACACTGATCATTTCAAGAAGCGACTAAAAATGCACAATGGATACTGGTTTATTCTGGGGCTGTAAATATGAATCACTCTGATTTCCATCACCTCAGTACATGAGCATTTTAAACAATGCCGGTGAAAGGGGCGGGTGCCTCTGGACTGCCAGTTTCACTCCAGTTTCACACGGGACTGGGAACCTGGATGACCTTGCATGCTGGAGCAAATGTATGTGAAGCGGTTCACCCAGCGAGGGAGAGGAGACTTAGGAGAAGTTTAGTCCGCCGTGAAAACGCAACTTTCTTGTACAGACACGAGCTCAGAAACAGGTTCTCCCTGGAAGATTACACTTGAACTTGATGTAAGATTTATTATACATATGACTTAAAGAAATATGGAGAATTGTTGTCCTACGCAGTCACCACCTGCGATATAGTCAGGATAGATCAACTATAGAAAATCTCCTAGTCAAAATATCCTGTGCGCAGCCGGGAGTGGCGAGAGGCGGGAGTCTAAAACATGATAAATTATTTTATTTAATCTTTTTAACAAAGTACACAGATAAACTAAAGTGCCAGATGTTTAGAAATACTTCCCTAACGGCGGTTCTATTGGCTCCACCCCTCGTTCCTCCTGTTTCCTAGCGCTGTATTATGCAACCCTCCTGGGTAACTACATCAAACAGTCAGCGCACCAGCCTGAAACCTGGTGTGGAGCTACTCGCTTATTTACATGGTTACAGTTTCCAGGGTGCAAGGAAAAAACGGTAAAACTTTACATTTTTTATGATTACTACTCTTGTGTGACAAAGCCGATTAATATTATTGATCTCACTAACTATTATAACGTTATATACCTATAAAATGAACGTTCACCGAGTACCTCTAGACTACTACGCATGAAGAGCCCGAGAGAAGCACGCCGTAGGCGGAAAGGACGTGGTGGGAGGGCATTAGAACAGGTTTGGCCAATAGAGGGCGGCGATCATTGTGATGGACGGCTCTCGGGGCCCAATCACGCTCTTCTTTATTGAAAGGGACCTCTTATCCGGTGCTATAAAACCTGCCACGAGTTGGCTTTGTGAGGGAGAGTCCATCTTGAAGAACAATCTCCGTCTCCGATTGTTTGAGCAGTAAGAGGCGGCGGGGGGGTGTTTTTCTGCTTTTTAGTTGGTTTCGGTTTGCGTTGTTGAACTGGCGTAGGACTTGAAAAATAATTTTGCAGCGGCTCGATCAATATTTTCTCTTTTAGTCGCTGGCGGGCCTATTTTTAAGTCGCATTAACGAAAGCTACAGCTAGCGCGGCCTGTTATGTAAGAAGCGGTACTGGGAAGTAGTTGCATTGTTAAAGCGGGAGCGGGGGGGAAGAAAGGCTTGAATCTGGAGTCGGCCTTCGTTTATTTTTAGCCCTCCTCGTCAGGGATTTCTTAATGTTTCGTAATTTTGTAGGTTTTGTACGAAGTGGCGGGGCGCCGAGGTCCGTGTGAGCAGTAGTTTGAGGGGGGTACGCGGCGGTATTGTCCGGGTTGTGTAAGGCTCCGAAGCGCGCCCAGCTGCGCTCTCCGGAGGAAGTGGCCGCTCACAGCCGCGCAAACACACACACACCGTCTCTCACCGTCCCCGTTGTGCTGCTCGTCTCCACTAGATAACGACCAGGATCACACCACCATGTCCGACACCGAGCAGCAGTTCATGGAGACCTCCGAGAACGGCCATGAGGGCGAGGAGGACCTGAACGGGGCCGAGCCGGCGGAGCAGGCGGCCGCCGCCGCCGAGTCCACGGCGGAGGGCGATTCCCAGAACGGCGCGTCGGAAGGCGGCCAGATCAACGCCAGCAAGAGCGAGGAGGACGCAGGGTGAGAGATTGCTGGGATTTCCTCGAATGGGACCTGAAATGACGGGGTCGTGCCGCGGAGCGGTGCCTAAAGGTTACGGGGGAAGAGCGCCTTTGTTCTTGCGCTCTTTGTTGGCGCCATGTGCTGTTGGATGGGGGGATGGGCCGGCTGCTGGAATTAATGCCGAGAGCTGTTGCGCCTCTTTGCGCGATAGCCGCCTTTTCGATGTTAAAATGAGGTGCCGGCTTCTTATTTTTTTTACGCGCAACCAGGCGGTTTTCAGGCTGTGGCCTGCTCATCTGAACGCTAGCGTCGGTGAGGGTAATAGGAAATGCTATTAACTGCCGGCCTCGTTTTTACTCGCGTGTTCCTAGATTGAATTGACATGGATCTGTGTGCTGCATGTGGGAGCCCCTGGATCTTAAAAGCTTTTTTTTATCCCCCTCCCTGTTTTTTTTTTTTTTAGGAAAATGTTTGTAGGTGGACTCAGTTGGGACACCAGCAAAAAAGACCTTAAGGACTACTTCTCCAAGTTCGGCGAAGTAACAGACTGCACTATCAAAATGGATCCCAACACGGGGAGATCTAGAGGGTTTGGGTTCATCCTCTTCAAAGAGGCAGCAAGCGTGGAAAAAGTGAGTCTTCTTACTGCTGCGTGTTGGTTAACGCTGTAAGCATGGGGAAATGGGATAACATGGGCAGGAGTTTAATTTCGAATGCGTTCCTTAAAGCCTGTGTGCGATCTCTCTCCAGGTTCTGGAGCAGAAGGAACACCGGTTAGACGGGCGACAGATCGACCCAAAGAAAGCCATGGCCATGAAGAAGGAGCCCGTGAAGAAGATCTTTGTTGGTGGTCTGAACCCAGAGACGACGGAGGAAAAGATCAGGGAATACTTTGGAACCTTTGGAGAGGTTTGTAATGTCTTGGTTTGGGGGGGGGGGGACTGGACATTGAAGACCATGGCGGGTTTTTCCTTGACTGGGAATCTGGGTTTGTGCCGTTTCATGCCAACGCCCTGCGTCTTTCGCTGCAGATTGAATCCATTGAGCTTCCAATGGACCCAAAGACCAACAAAAGGAGAGGTTTTGTCTTCATAACATTCAAGGAAGAGTCCCCCGTCAAAAAAGTTCTTGAAAAGAAGTACCATAATGTCAGCGGAAGCAAGGTAACAAACGGAAAAGATGACCTTGTATGTATATTTTCATTTTTCTTTGCTTTTATGGGGCTGGGGCTGGGGATCGTTTCTAAAGCTTTGTCTTGTTTAAGCATGCTTAGGATCTGAGTAATTGTGCCAGGCATTCTGGTTTAATAAGTGATTCTATGCTTTAAAAATTGTGGATTTAGTTTTCTTGATTAATCTTAATGCTTTTTGAATTGTCAAAGCAGGTCTTAAGTGTAGCAGTTGAGATCCATTGTGTGGGCTAACGGTTTTCTGTTTATTTGTCTTTTTTTGTGGGTTACAGTGTGAAATCAAAATAGCCCAACCAAAGGAGGTGTATCAGCAGCAACAGTTTGGGGGCCGCGGGGGTGGCTATGGAGGGAGAGGCCGGGGGAACCGTGGTGGTAAGTACAAATCTGCAAACCCTCCTTTTCAGAACTCCCTTTCGGCAAATCTTACTTCAGATCGGCATTCCTTATGGTGCACTCTGTGACAGGTTTTTGGCTTGCCTTTCTAGGTCAAAACCAGAACTGGAACCAGGGCTACAATAACTATTGGAATCAGGGCTATGGCAACCAGGGCTATGGTTATGGTGGACAGCAGGGATATGGTGGCTATGGAGGCTATGGCAACTATGATTACACCGGATACTATGGCTATGGGCAGGGGGGCTATGATTACAGTAAGTATTAGTCAGTGAGCCCTGCATTTCAAGTTGTTTCAGGTTGTCTTTGCACAACAGCACTCAGCCCCTTTCTCTTTCGTTCTCCAGACCAGGGCAATACAAGCTATGGGAAAACTCCAAGACGTGGAGGCCACCAGAGTAGCTACAAGCCATACTGATCACATGTAGTGCAGGTATGCATTATAGCACGATGTTTGGTGGTGTGACGATGGAGTGATGGGCTGTAAATGTGCAAGCTTGGCACTCTATAAGAGTGTTATCTGTCAATCTGGATCATGTAATCTGTTGGGGGATTTTGTGGACTGGATTTTTTTCCCCCCAAATAAAATTATGCTGCTAATCAGATAAATTGGCAAAACACCAGTCCAGTTATCGGTGGGGGGGGGAGTGCTGATATGTGCCACACGGTCTCCAAGCACACTTGAGTGCTCAGTGGTATATTAAAAGATGCATCTCTATCAACACTACTTGATCAATAAGGGTTGAGAAGGTGGTTGTGGGGCAGAGCTTGTGGGGGGGGGTTGGGGGGTGGGAGAGCTCAGTTTTCAGAAGCCTGAGATTTATGCCTTGAATAGTCACTAGATCATTAGCTCATTGTAACGCAAGAAAATAACTGCTGTTCTTTCTCTTGAGCCAGTACTTTGCATGAGGGCAGTTTTGCAATGTGTCCTCTCCCTTTTTCCTTTTTAAGGACTAAAATAATTCAAGATCCGGAGTCCCCTTCGTGCTGCTGCAGAAAGTATGGGGCCTGACTTTCCTTTGGAGTTGGCTGGTTTAAAGACTCATGCTCCATTTGTACAGAACAAGTGAGGAATTGGGGGAAGCAAATGTCACTTTTCCACTTTTTATTTTATATTGTTTTGTGTCCATACACATTTCCAGAGATGGAAGTGTTATTTTTACTGTACTTTTTGGTACCTTTTTTGAATCTATTGTATTGTATGGTTGTATTTTACATGTCTACTGGATTTACCACAATGCGATCAAAGCTATCAGAGCTTTTGAAATAAACAGTTTTGAGTAATTTTGGTGTTTCTAAATTTACTTTTACTGTTTAAATTGTGCTGAGTGTCTTGATGCAAGTTGCATGGCTACTGACCTGGGGGAGGGGTGGGTAGGATTTCTAAAAGGGATTAAGGAACGATTTCATTGTAAGCTTGTGTAGTGAATGTGTAGCAGTTGGCTAGTAGATAAGGACAACCAGCATTTATAAACCTTTTGGGCTTTTAAGGAGTTTTACCAAGTTGTCTGCAATTAAGTGGCTTTGATAGTGTAAATTATACAACCATTCATCCTGGAGCTTGCTGATTATGTAAGAGGGTACTCCCTTTACCCCCCACTGGAAACTCATTCCTCTAGTGTCTTGGGCAAATTGTTAGAAATAAACTTTGGTTTATATTATTTGTGTGGATCCTTTTTTTTTTTAATGCTTAATGCTTGTTGTGGTTACTGTTAAAACTTGCTATCTTGGTTGTATTTGTAATGCTAGTGTCCTGTGTCCTAGTGTGGTCTGTGGGTCAGTGTAAGTTCCTGCTCCCTGTTGGAACACTGCAGTATGGGTTTGGTTAAGCAGGCTGAACATCCTTGGTGAGAAGTTTGCTGCATGAAAGCACTAACTGTTACATGTAGGAAAACCTTTGAATATGTGGGGGACTTTCTCCTCCTTCCTTTTGGTTAAATGTGTGGGGAATGTATGGATTAAAACCACAGCTTTGCATTTTACTTTATAGCACCTCTTCAGGAAGTAGTTCATTTACAAAGACCCAGTGAAATGTGCTCCATTTGTACAGTCCTGTGGGTGTGGAATCTGTGTTTTAGAGGAAGTTGACATGCATTTTACTTCTGTATGCTGCCACATGGATCCTGGCACAAATACTTCTCTAAAGGTTAGAAATCTGAATCTTGTTAAATGGGGGTGGGATTTATTTGTGTTGGGGTTGGGTGAGGGGGGTGAACCGCATTTTGAGGAGCGGAGTTTTGAAAACCGCTGTTCTGCAAACTCTCCACCTACCGTGTATGAAGTAGAATCTAGCTTGGCACTTGATACATTCAGTATTCCTTCTCGTGGAAGATTGCATAGTGTAAAGAGGGGCAACCTGAATGTGGCCTCGCTAAACTCTCTTGATCTGCCATTTCTCACATCTTATTCCATGGGCAACTACTTGAAGTGCTGTGATTTTTCTATTTAAAATTCAGGGACTTTAATAACCCTCTATGCCTCGAACTGCAGCTGACTTGACTTCCCTTAGCCTTCTCCCTGAAAGACTATTTTTAACCATGTCTTGAAAGTTTTATATGAAGTTTTTTTTTCTCCCCATTCTTACTACTTGGTATATGGACTATATTTGACTGAAGTCTTAAGAAATTTGCTTAATTCCCAATGTAGCCATTATCTGAATTTCTTTGTTGACAACCTGCTAATGTTAAGCTTTGTAGTTTTAATTTTAACTGATGGAATAAAGTGAATTAAGCAAATGCACCAGTGAATTTGTCCAACATGATCATTAATGGAGTGTGCAGTTATTGCATCATATTGTACCTCAACATCTTAAATCCAAGGACTTCATTTCTAAGGGACAATTATAAACATACCTGAACCTTGCAAAATTATAGATGCAATATTGCTGTTCTCCAGTCCCGGGCTTCAGGGTGTTCAGCAATATTTTCAGACCGTTTTCATTGAAACTCCCACAACACACACCTCACATGATTGACTTTCAGACCAGCAGGCTCCAAGAATCAGGATCTTGTTTATTACAATAAACTGCTCATTATGACCAACAGTATTTTGCTTAAGGGAAGAATAAAATGATCTTCAGTCACCAATGGAAACTCAACTTTTGGTTTCGTTTGAGCTAATCCATGTTCAAAGTCCATTAAAATGTGCAGTGTGGGGGGGGGGTCTGGCATAAAACCTGGGGCGAAAAAAAAAGAAAATCTAATATTACTTCATACACAACTCACTTGATTCAAGATAATACTATAGTCAAAGTAGCCTGCCTTTTATTCAAGGGCTGTAGATTTTCATATTTAAAATTTGTTAGAGCTACTTAAGCAATATTGGTCCTATACAGGCAAATGTTTTTCAGGCAATCACAACTAACTAAATTTTCATGTTGACCAGGTGTGTGTTTCTAGGCACTGTAAATTGATTGTTTTATATGGAAAATGAACAGAATACATACAGTAAGTACATTTCATGGCACTGCAGCTGTCCAGCGTTGAAGCGGGGTAGCAAACTTGGGTTTGTTACCAATACGGAAATAAAACTACCATACCTAATGAGGAACAGCTAAGAGTAAACTAACCTTATGAGATCAAACGCTAATATTAACACATACAAACCTGAAGTGTCTGGGCTTGTCGCCAAATTCTTAAGCATGGGAATTTTCTTTCAGATCTGAAAAAAATGGAAATTTATAGCAATGCATAAAGTATATTGCATGAACAACAGCTTTAAAACCGAACTGCTGTCTGTTCCACTGCAACTTAATTTTCCAGTTCAGGCCCAGCCTTGTGAGATGGCCTTTCTTGTGTAACTGGTCTCAGGCTATCTCAAGCTGGAGGACCTGAGCACAGCCCACAGTGGTTGAAAGGAACCCATTTCATACGCAAAGCTGTCTTGGCTGGGGGGGGTACATTGCTAACAGCTCTTAAGGGTCCTCTTTTGTAATTTTTATATTTCTTTTGGGGATCTTATCAAGTGCTGTAACATCCTGGTCAGGTAGTTACTTCATTCTTTCACAGAGGCTTTTCCAAACCAAAACATACAATGTTAGCTTTCCATTTTCTCTACAGAATATACATCTCCAAAGCTAGAAATTGTTTAGACCAGATCCCGTTTGTGCGGTACCGAACTCCCAGGGAGCTTCCCTGTACTGGTTTGGGGCGGCCGCGCAGCCGTGCCACCTTACCTGAAAGTATCTGGTCTATTTTGTCCGCCACCAGCTTGGCGTCGTCCATGCTGAAGCACATGGGGGGCTTGAACTTGAGCACGTTTTCCCCAGGCCCGTCGCTGCTCATGAAGATGTATTCTTCCTTCAACCTGGAATTGCACTTGGATCAGTCTGGGAACTTGAGCAACTCGAGAACAGAAAGCTACAAAGTCCGCTCAGTACAAACTGGTAAGCATAGACGGTCAATACAGACAGATGAGGGCTTTCCTTCTTTGTGGAAAACTTGACGCATTGCAAAACGAGCCTAGCAGGTACCACCACCTGGCACGAGTCCTGTAATAAAGTACTCGTGTTGCATAAAGAGAGTCAGGCGTCAGGGCACTGTAACACACTCGGTCTCGCTTAGTTCCTGCGCTCTTCTGTGCATGATCTCACGCCTTTTCACTGAAAACTCACACTGGAGTTATAACATTATATTGTAGTTAATTACTGAACATTAGAATGTAGGGTTAAGAACTGCACACTACAGTATCAATTCGTTCAAATGTAATTCTACAATGTTTACTGTATTTTTTAGTGTGTGCTATGTTTGGTGTTTAATTATTCTAATTATAGGGTTGAGTAAAATGCGTCGATGGATATCATGAATGGCAACTTGGTTGAACGCAGAAGAAAGGGTTACTTCTGACTTCTGTAGAAGTGGATTAGATAAAGAGGTTTCGGCTTTCAGTCTGCACACCTTCCCTTCCTCTCACCTCTTCAGTATGAAATCTGCTTCCTCCTTGGCTGGGGTCCTCAGGTTTCGATCTTTAACCAGGTCAATTCCCACAAACAGGCCAACCCCCCTGTAACAGAGCGGGTACTCATCACTCATTGCTGTGCAGGGCATACTTGCGCTGTCCTGAAAACTTTCACCTCAGTTTTCAAGACTGGAGGGAACCCCTAAGCAGCAGAGAATGAAACAACAGCTCTTACCAGATAAGCACTAATCTTAAATGCCCATAGGATTAAGAGCTGCGGTTACAATAACCAGTATGAGTTTTACCTTCCTTTAACTATAGCACAGCAGCAGCCCAATTTAACACAGAACATACTTGACACCGTACTGCTGGTTCCAGATGAAGACTGCTGCTGGCTCTCTTTGTCACAGGTACTTTCTTACAGGGTATGCTTGCTGCTTACGTACAGTATGTTTTTAAGGAGTTGAGCTCCATAATGGGAGACTTTCGGTTGTATGTGACTGATGTGCTTTTGGAGGAGACAGGTGGGACTCTTGTCACTGAGCTCCCAGCTGCTCTGCATAGATATGATTCCTGAGTTACTATCCATCTGCATGCATGATATCTTGTGTTGACCCATCTAATAGCAGCCAAAAAATGATTTTGAAAGGACTTCTGGAGGGTAGCTTTGAATCCTACTTTTAAGTAGGCATTAGTCCGGCCAGATTATATTTCATGGAAAAAAAAAGGACAGAATGGTCAGATTGTTGTCATTCCCACAAAGTCAGAGCATATTTAATTTGCTCCCTTTTTTCTTAAGTGTCCCATTTTTTCTCATTTGTATGCCTTTTTGTTGTTCTGAAAAACTACCGATATATTGAAGATCGCAATGTGGGTTTCTGTAAAAGACCGTACAAACACCAACATGCCACCTGAATGGGCTGTTCAAAGGCAGAGCAAAAAGGGCGTCCCTCTTACAGGAAAAACACGACGGTTCAGGGGATTTAACGAGAATGCCATACAGCCCCACATACCGAACGTCTCCGATTATCGGGTGTTTGCGTTTGAGATCGTTCATCAGTTTCATGAAGTATTCTCCCACCCGTGTGGCATTCCCACGCAGGTCCTCCTTCTCCATGACATCCAAGACAGCCAGGCCGATCGCGCAGGAGACTGGGTTCCCACCGAACTGGAAACGGAACAGGAGCACGCGCTGAACAGCAGCTCAGAAACAGGCACCCCCGAATTTCCCAACCACAGCTCGACTGTGTGGAAGACTACTCAGCAGAACGTGATGTTCGTTCTACACTCCTGCCGGGCATTTCAGAATGGAGTAGCGCCCATCTGGACAAAGCGGACCACACAGCATCACAGAGTCCTCTCACAGGTGTTTCTGCTAATCGATTCCACCCCTTTGGGATGAACGTACTGTATCCGCATTCTGGAAATTGAGGGTCTCTGATCATGTTCTGGAGAACCCCGATCAGACAGGTTATTTACAATGAGTAACCATTGAATCTGTTGTAAAAGACTCAATAAATCAGCTGATTTGAGATCATCTGGAATAACATTCTGACAAATACTCTTCATTTCTCAGTGACCCTGATGCCCTAGTTACTTGCTTGATATACCTGTCATTTAGAAGTGTTCCCAAGCTAGAGAAGCAGGGCATCTGGGGGTGCACTCCGGGATCAAAACACGGGCTCCTGGGGCCTCGCCTAACAGTGGTTGCAAACAAGGGGGGGACATCTAACTACCTACCATCTCCACCTCCCAACCCCTCGGTAGTTTGCTTAATTTAACCGAGAATCTCGCCTAGCTGAAACGGAAGCCATCGTACTGGCTTTTACGACCTGAAGATGAAGACGGGAAACTGCCTGCACAGGACCCTCCTCGGGCACCCTGAGGAGTGCCTTCACCCAGGTAAGCTGGGGCGCGCGCAGGATGGGTGCCAGGTGTGCCCTACTCACGGTGTTGAAGTACTCCACCCCGTTGGCGGTGAAGGCGTCTGCGATCTCCTGGGTGGTCGCCACGCAGGACAGAGGGTGCCCGTTGCCGATGGGCTTGCCCATGGTGACGATATCGGGGACGAAGTCTTCTCCCTGGAGCTGGAAGCCCCAGAAGTGTCTCCCCACCCGGCCGAAGCCAACCTGGACCTCGTCGGCCACGAAGACAGCTCCAGCGGCCCTAACGTACCTGGAAGCACAAGGACGCGTCAGCCCCTCAGACCAGCGCTTCACAACACTGTGTGGGCCCACTCTCGGCAGGTAACAGGGTCAAAGGTCGTGCGATTTGATTCTGGGGTTCCTCAGAACCCTGACAGGGTTGAGTCTGGCTACAGATACAAAACTCTAAACGATCTTTGCTTAATTGGTTGTAAGATGCAACAGAGGGAGAGCAGAACAGAAGACTGGAAGCATGGTGAAGAGGAGACGAATAATTTAAAAATACAGTTAGACAGAGTAGATCCACAAATGATTCAGTTTTTAACTTTAACTACTGTGGGAAAAATCTCGAGCTGCAAACTAGCATGCCAATATGTGGTGAATACTATCAGATGTGTGAAGATATAATCAATAAAAAACTCACAGGGATCTAGGGCTGGAGATTCCTGTAATAATCTTTAATGTGTGAGAAAGCCTCTGTGGTCCACAGTAGAACTGTTTAAATAGCACCTGCCCCTCTGGGGTTCCAGTGGTGTCTTAATTATTGAATTTCAATAAAATGTTAACTACATTAATATTAAAAAATATGGATAAGATCTTTGTAAGTTTATCTTTGTGTCATTGAAATGATGTGACTCTAACTTCTTGCCTACAGCTGTATAAATCATTGTTAATAAGTAAACTGCTTAACTCAAAAGTTAAGAGCAAAGGGACATTTTATTGAGCAGACATGACAAAGGTAAGGCCATTATGCTGCTGGACACTTTTCAGCACCAGAGCTGATTAACAGGGGGTCTCTGCCTTACGTGACAGGCTAGCGCACAAGATAGTGGTCGTTCTGTTCTTGCAGGAAAGCTGCTGTTGCACGTATCGTCTCATCACGATGAGCGCGCAGCAAGGGCAGCAAGACAGTTCCTAGAAATGATCAGTGTAGCGTCGTGTGGCCAGGTGGCCATCCATCCCTACACGTGGAGTGAAACTGCACACTCCTGCAGAGATCTTCACACTTGGACGGAACGGATCGTTTTGCATATCTGCGCCGTACCTGCTAACATTCATTAAGGAGGTCGACACAAAGCCTTGATTCATCCCTAGAGGGAACTTGGCTCCGCCACTGCTACCTCACAGCACCTGCTCCTGTTGGGTCAAATCACTACAGAGAGCCCTGCACCCTGCTCACTGCTGACCTGGTTAATTGGATCTGGTGTTTCTGATGCACAAGAACTGGCAGCGTGAAAACAATCCCAAAGTTCGAGCACATCAGTCTTGGCCAGTTGTTGTACCCGTGGTCTTCCAGATCACGGCACCTCATTGATTCGCTGAGCTGTAACAGCTGGCCAGCATGAGCAGGCCAGACAGAGAGAGACAGTGCACAGCACTGGCACCAAGGCATTGCTCCCCTGATAGGCAGGGCACGCTGGCACCTTTCTGCATTTCCCTTTCTTCATGTTCACTGGGTCTGACATGGAGCAGTTTAAATAATCTAATCACCCATCTTACTATGCTTATGCAACAGTCACAAATCTGATCAGTCATAGATCAACTGACGTAACAAAAGACACCAAAACATTTAATCAATTACCAAAATTCATGCACTCTATTCTTCGAACCTATGTGTCTAAAGCTGACCGGATCCTATTAATCCTCAGTACATATAGTCACGTTTATATAACATAATATAAAAATAGAGATATTGCTGCTCTGCGATCTGGCCAGAGAATATCAGGCAGATACTCTCCATGGCTTAAAGTAATTTCCAGCACAGACAAGCTAACAGGACAGAAGCTCCTGAAAAGAGCAGACAAGCGAGGAATTTGTCGACGAATTTGGAACAAAAGCGGAGCTGCGTGGAAGTGCGTTTAAACGTGATAACAGGATGTGCTGCTATGTGCAAAGGGTGGCGGGAGCGTGGAACAAGCCCCTCAGACATGGTACTGGAGTTGATACCCTTGGCTTTTTTTGAAAAATGACTGGCCAGGATCCCAAGACCAATGATCTACTAACTACCAAACAGGTCAGATGGGTGATATGGCCTCTGTATGTAACCTTTCTCATGCTGCTGGACATAATTTACATTTATCATACCACAGATGAGCTACGTACATTCCTTAACAGTACTTGAGCGCAATCAACAGACAGCAAGAGACGGGAATATCCGGTTTATCTTGAAAGGTTTACTCTCCCTCCAGCTCTGGGCTGCAACAGACACATCCTTATGTCCAGAGAAATATTAAAGAATCACCGTGACATGAGATCGAGTTGCGTTGCGGTAGTGCAAAAGCGATACGTACTCCGCCACCTTTTGAAAGTAGCCAGGTGGCAAAACGATCTGCCCTCCGACACTCGGGAGCGACTCGGCGAAAAAGGCAGCAATCTGCGCGAGAACAAACAATCACAGAAGTAAAGGACCCTGCAGGCTCTTCTGGTGAACTGCGCGGTCTCTACTGGGCGCACTTTGAGCAATGGCTGCAGCTCAGCTTCACTCAGTCCAGAAACACGACCCTGACAGTGTGAGCACAGGAAACAAGACATGCCATTCAAGCCCTAGAATTAGATGGAAATATTCGGATTTTTTTTCTTTCTTTTAGCCACGGAGCTTTGCTTGATCCTGAGCCGAAGGAGAGATTTATCCGGAGGTTTTCACTCCAGCTCAGCTCTTGGTAAGCTTCAGGTCATGACCCAGTAAATCAGGGGAGAGTTTAACTCCACTCTTCAAGGGCTCCTGGCCAGCGTGGTTTATACACTAGCCTCTTTAAATCTCCAGCTTCTTAAGAACAAGGAGAGGCTTTAAAATGTCAACCGACCACGGGTTCACTCAGCCAGTTAAGGGCTCAGGGGAGGACCTGGGCACTCCTGCTTCACAGGAGTAAAGACACATAGACACGGGCCCTCTAGGATCACAACTGGACACCCGTGGATTATACAGTAGACAGGACGTCTGTCACGATAGGCACGAGAAAAGAAAACAGAATATCCATATCTAATTCTAGAGAAAATACAGCACATGTCGCTTTGTGTAGCTTTATCTAAGGCTGTGGTTCCCAGTCCTGGTCCTGTGGTTCCACACCTGCTGGGCTGCATCCCAGCCCACCTGCACTACCTCATTGACCCAAGAAGCTGCTTCGCTTGAACACTTGCATTTTGTTTCTAGTCACAAGCTCAGGGTTTTATTTCACGTACAAAATCCAACAGTTGAAGCTCCAACTTGATTCAGAGTTGGAAATAGTTCAAATGAATCTTATTAAGTCCATGAAGGGTCTGATTGTGTAGCTGAGGGCTGGTCTGGAACAGGAACGTGCAGGACTGGGACCGTTTAACCACGGAAAAAATAAATCCTTTTGTCCCTAGTGGAAAACAACACCCACGTGCTGTTCAGAGCCAATAATAGGCTCTTACTTTCAAGTACCACCTGAAAGGTGCCATGTGTCGAATGAGTCTGACTGCAAGCAAGGCAGGTACAGCATCAGCAACAGAATGCCTGGCCTCTATTCAAATTGTTAGAATAGTCAGAAGCAAATATAATAATAAACATCATGACAGTAGTAGTTTAACAACTCATCCATAGGACAACAAAACCACAATAAAAACCAGAGCCATGCATCATTACTGCCACCAATGCAAAAGCAACCTCACAGCTGTTGGAGCTGTTGACACAGTCTGAAGCGAGCAATTGAGAGGCGATCACCTCTTACCTTCCGGCCTTTCTTATGTGCTTCATCTATCACACACTTCACCTCGTCCGCGTAGGCCCGTGCCGCGTCCTCGTGCTCCTTCCTGTACAGCCCTCTGTAGGTATCGGGCAGCGGGGCCTGCGAGACGGGTGGAGAGCTGACTTTCAGGAAAACGCACTTCTCGAACCGGCTTCTTATCGCCACAGTGCAGCTGGAAAAACTTTCAACTAAATCATCCTCTTTTAGAAATTGACCAGATGTTCCTCTATTCTAGCGAGGTTGATCTTAAGTGACTGATCTTGCTTCCTGCCACAGGCTTGGCACCCCATTACACTTGCTAAAGAAGCTTTTCTTTTCCCGAGGCCAGTACTTAGACATCACCAGCTGCCATATCACCCTGCAGCTCCCTGCTGGCAGCCTATTGAAGCTCAGCAGGTGGGAGCCTGGTCAGTACCTGGATGGGAGACTCCTGGGAAAGCTAAGGCTGCTGCTAGAAGAAGTGTTAGTGAGACCAGTAGGGGGTGCTCACCCTCTGGTCTGTGTGGGTCCTAATGCCCCAGTGAAATGGGACACTATACTGTAAAAAGGCGCTGTCCTTTGGATGACATTTCTTGAAAAGAGTAGGGGTGTAACCCTGGTGTCCCTGCCAAATTTCCCCCTAGCCTTAGGGCTAGGGTATAAGGGCGTGAAGTGCCCTTAGGGCGTGAAGTGACAACAGGGGTATAAGCGCAGGCCACCGGTTATTTCTGAATGGCATGAAAACACGGCAGTACACCGATGTGACACAAAAAATTACATCGTAATGACCGCATGCTTTAGAGATTCCTTGTGTGCCCATCATGGCCTCCTTATAAACCCCATCTCTGAACTGGCTTCATCACTCTGCTCTCCTCCCCACACACCAGTGTACTGGAGCACTAATAATAACTATCATTATTAATTGACATAGTACATATCCTACCTAGACACAGTGTGTACTATGATCAGAGTAGTGTACACAGGTTTTCATCTCCGGGTAATTTCAGTAGCTAACTGGAAAGATGCAAAGAAGACAGCTCGTACTCCAGAATAGAATAATATTATTAATACGAGAAGAAGAAGTACAATTCCCTGCGTACCACATGAACCCACTCCTTCTGTCCTCCCAGTTTCCGGAACTTGTAGGGACTGATGTCGATCAGAGAAGTCAGATGTCCGTGGTAAGCGCTTTGAAAAATCATGAAGTACACGATATGGATTAACAGCATTAAAAAACAAAGTTACAGTACCTGCTCAAATATCTTCACCGAGACATTATAAGACATAAATCATTTAGGTGAGATAAAGCAGTTTTTTCCCACTATTATAGATACCCATTGCTCACAGCGACTTCATTAAGTTTTCTTAACAGTACACAGTGTGCATGTTTCCGATCCCATTTCATTTGTAACATATGTGTATTGGTGCACTTTTCTGGCCAGGACAGATCAACAAAGAAAACAAGTCAGGTCTGCCGGTTTTCCAAATTCTAAAAACTGTGGATCCCGCCGCACTGTAACCGAAGACACAGGTCGCAGAGGACCCGCAGGTCTCGGGCGAAGTTCTTACTTCATCTCTCAAACAGTCCCGCACAACAAAACTCTGTGTGCCGTGAAGTGACAACAGGGGTATAAGCGCAGGCCACCGGTTATTTCCGAACGGCATGAAAACACGGCAGTACACCGATGTGACACAAAAAATAACATCGTAATGACCGCATGCTTTAGAGATTCCTTGTGTGCCCAATGTTTAAAGACGGATTTTTAGATCTTCACAGAGCTGTTATGCCGGGCCTGACAAGGTGTTGAGACGGGCTCGGCGAAAATTCGAGCCAACGAGCCCAGATATGCAGCAATCGAGAGAATTTGTTCGAGGACAGAGCTGAGGCGGACAAACAGAGCTGGGACTGAGGAAACAGCTGAGGCAGTAGCTGCGCAGCTGAAGCAGGCAGAGCAGAGGCTGAGGGCTGAGGTGAGGAAGAGATGACTGGCGGCAATGACGACTGAGGAACTGGAAACTGAGGATTAAGAAACACTGAGAAATACTTCTGAGAACCTGAAACTGAGACAAACTCAAAGCAGGGTTAGTGACTCAATGTCTAAGCCCTGAGGAATGGCTTAAATACTGTGCGAGTTTCCCTGATTGGCCTGATATGCCCGGCCTGATCCCAATGAGTCTCCAGCGTGTGTGGAACTGGAACAGATTTTGCACGACTGTTGTTGTTTAGCACATTGCCTGTTGTCTCTGTCTTACTTTTCTTATACAATTGTATTGTTGTTGTTGTTGTTTTTCTTGTACTGCTTACCAGCTGAGAGCCAGCTAAATAGCATTTCGTTATACCATACACCTGTGTGTGAGGATAATGACAATAAACTTGAACTTGAACTTGAATGCTGCAACTGAGCTCCAGGCGGACAACAGCAGAAGACGGGAAACCTACTGATCCAGCACCAGGACGTCCTCATGCTGGCTATACTGCCGAGCCAGGCGCAGGGCTAAGTCATTGGCTTCAGAGCTGCGGGAAGAGAGAGAGGAAGACATTTTACAGCGCCTGGAACAGCACATTAACAGCCCCGAGCCAGTCACAGACGTCCGGGTTCACTTAACCTGAGATCCCTCCACACGCCGCGTTTTGAAAAGAGCTCACGGCGCACTCTGAGAAGACTGCCCCACGTGGTGCGGGACGAAACACTTAGGTAAAACCCGATCGGTTTTAGAATGCAAACATCATTTAAAAAAACAAACAAATGAATTGTAGATATCTGGCTCTAGCTGTGGGTCATTGACCTGGTCTCCTGACCTGGGTTTTTTAGAGACTTTTAAAACCGGCATCTGCTGTTGTACGTGACACCACAGAAACAGCTGAAAGGCGGGGCAACAGAATCAAGAACAGCCATGGGACCATCAGGAGAATGCGGACTCGCAAACCCCATTCATGGTAAGAAAATGGCTGGACTGGGACTATACAAACCTCTGTAACACTGTGGCACTGTGGGAAAAACACCTTGTGTGCGTCTCCTCCAGTGTTCTCCGGAAGCAGCCGTTTTTGTTACAATTAAACTCATCTCAAACCTCCGCTGGACTGCGCTGCGACTGCTTGCATCCCCAGAACTTGTAGGAGCTGCCGGGAAAGGGAGCAAGAAAGCTCTCCGACTTTATCCAGGATGTGCTTAAAGTGAGCGGGCATTACCCCATGATGCAGCTTGGTCTCAGAGGTGTCTGCTGCACACCTTCATGACTGTCAGAGGAGCGTCACAAGCACAGCTTCCCCGCTAGGGGGCAGGCTTCTGTATATCTGACAGGGCTGTCCGACAAACAGGAGGGGGTCTGATGTCTTAGGATTTTTGTTCCAATCTGAGAGGTCATTTCGACAATCACTTTCTTAGACACATGCAGTCGTTTTCTCATGGTCCTTAACAATTACTCGAAAAACACTGGCTTCACTGAACGATACTGAAAGAATTACCGCGGTCCACGAAATGATCAGATCAGCCACGTAACCGAGAAGACAGGCTGGGCAAAACCCAGAAGGAAATGAGTCCCGTGTTTTTTCGGGAAAGTACGTTTCCTTTTTTTTACACAGGGAGTTTGGAAAGGTTGGCCCCATCGGTAGACCGGTACCCCGCCACAGTCACACTGAACAGACACCGAAGCGGGCCTCTTACCCACAGTTCAATCACCCCTCCGGTCTGCCGCCGCCTGTCTTACCCAGAATTGACGAAGTAGAAGACTTGGAGCTTTTCCGGCAGCGTCTCCGAAAGTCTCGCCGCGTACTGGACCAGGTTGTCGTGGAGGAACCGGGTGTTCGTGTTCTGCAGCTGCATCTGCGCGGCCGCTGCCTGCGCCACTGCGGGGTGGCAGTGCCCCACTGCGAGAGAGCCAGGGACAGCACGGTCAGAGTCCGCCCGGACCCCCAAGCCACCCCCTCTGGGGCGCCGAAGCCGGTCAGACGTTTACGACAAAAAAAAAAAAAAAAAGGCCAACCGGCAAAAAAACCAAACAATAAAAAACCCCGGAAAAAAAAAAAAAACAACCAACGAAAGGATATATAAACCTCTTCTTAATCTGAATTACTTTTTTAATCTTCTTAAGTACATCATGTATTGTCACACACAGATTTGTTAAGTGCCTTGGGGCACCCTTGTCGTGAAAGGGGCTATATAAAAATAAATTGAATTGAATTCTTAATTCGTTATAGCAATATTAAGCATATTTTTAATAATAATAATAATAATAATAATAATAGCTTACACTTATATAGCGCTTTTCTGGACACTCCACTCAAAGCGCTTCACAGGTAAGGGGGACTCCCCTCCACCAGTGTGCAGCCCCACCTGGATGATGTGACGGCAGCCATAGTGTGCCAGAATGCTCACCACACATCAGCTATCAGTGGGGAGGAGAGCAGAGTAATGAGGCCGTTTCATAGAGGGGGACTATTAGTTGGCCATGATTGGTAAGGGCCATTTGGGAAATGGGAAATTTGGCCGGAATGCCAGGGTTACACCCCTACTCTTTTCGAGAAACACCCTGGGATTTTTAATGACCACAGAGAGTCAGGACCACGGTTTTACGTCTCATCCGAAGGCCTGCGCCTGTTTACAGTATAGTGTCCCTGTCACTCTACTGGGGCATTAGGACCCACATGGACTGCAGGGTGAGCGCCCCCTGCTGGCCCCACTAACACCACTTTCAGCAGCAACCTTAGCTTTCCCAGGAGTCTCCTATCCAGGTACTGACCAGGCTCACACCTGCTGAGCTTCAGTGGGTTGCCAGTTGTGAGTTGCAGGGTGATATGGCTGCTGTTTTCGTGACAGTCAGCACTACTGTTAGTGACTTTTGTAAGAGGATGGCAACTAAGCAACCCAAGCAATCATGCAAAATTCTGCCGTACACAAATGATTGCAAATCATTTGAAAAATGATCATCTGTGCTGTGCTTAGATATCTGGTTTATAGAGGCATGGGATTGGCAGGATATTACATTAACAATTTCCAGCATAATCCCTTGTTTTCCTGCGTGGATGTGCACGTTTAGGGTGTTTTTATGTATAAACAGCTGTGACTTGGACTGCCAGGGTTACCGGCTGAGGCAGAATGACATCAGCGCTGGACTCTCCTGGATGCTCAGTTTAAATAAATCGGCACGCTCGCTGGGATAACCATTTATGTTAGTGGACATTTCAGCTACTGAAAATAAATGTTTTAACTAGCATTCTCAACGGTGACATGCAGCATTTCTGCAATTGGAAGCACCATTTGAAAATGTTTCAAAGATTCCTAATACTTTAATTTGATTAATCATCAAAGAAAGGGTTTTTAAAGGCAGAATTCCACACTAGTTCTCAATACTATTTCATGCAGTTACGGCTAGATGCTTTCGACGGTCCACCTGAACAGTGGTTTCAACGCTGCCTTACCGTGATGGACATTACTGATACAGTCCAGGTAGCGCCTTCCCTTCTCATCGTACAAGTACTGTCCCTGGGCTTTCACGATCTTCACCGGCTCCTCGGAGAAGAACAGCCGGCAGGACGAGCTGGGAGGAAGTGACAGTGAGTCCGCTCTGCAGACTGAACACTTTTACAAGAGCACAACCTACACCCTGACCAGTACTACATCATCTGAGGAACAAGTAATAGGTTTATTCCATGCTGAAAAAAAAGAAGAAAGAAAACCATTTCGGCCGTGGAGCCTTCTTCAGGTGTGACATTCTGAGGGATTTTTAACTTGTTTTTTTTCTCAGGGAGGGCGTTACTTAAAAGCACGCGCTGTGCATCGCCGTCGTTCAGATATGAACTTTTATAGAAGAGCATTTTCCAACCTTTGGAATTAACGTCGGAGTCCGGGAATATTTCGCTCAGGCTAATACTAGCATGAAAGACAGATAGATGGACAGCCTCTTCATGCACTCACCCAATCAACTTCTTGCGCATCGCTAATGTGTCTTCTTTGCTGTAGAGCGCCATGGTCAACACTTTTGCGAGACTTTTTGTTTCTACAAACTCCTGGAACATCAATCACTACTGCTGCCCGTCAAACCTCTCCGCGTATGACGTCAAGCTGAGACCTGCCACGGACTGCAAACTTCTTCCCGGCTACGTCACAGTCATGCGCAGTACCTAGGAAGACGCCCCACCGAGCCTGGCCGCCCCTCTCGGTCACATGACAGCCTCCCAGCGTTCACCTGGTAACTGCCAGTTTATGCGACGTCACGCAGACAAAGGGCCTATGTCCAATTTTCTAAACCTTCAGCTGTCTATTTCTTTATCTGTTTCAATATTCTGTCTCCTTTCTTGTATTTTGTATTGCCAAATATTTTTTGCTTTTCAACCTTTAAAACTCTTATTTTAAATAGACTAAATTTGAATAGAAAAAGTCTATTCAAAGTTTCTGTAGCGCATTAATCAGTCCAAAAATACTTCCTATCCGTCCTTTGAAAAGTCCAAAGTTTCTTTACAAGCTTTACTAAGCTGGAGACTTCGTGAAGTGCCAAAACAGCAATCTGTCGCTAAAATAACCAACACTATTCACTGATAATACACTCGTAACGTTAAGTAAACTATTTCGGTTACGAGGCATGAATTCATTCGGAGATGTAGATTCTAGTAAAAGTAGCAAATATAGTAACATTGATGATAGGAAAAAGAACAATGCATTGATACATAATTCAGAATCAATCATGATACAGAATCAATTATAACGAAAACTGAGTTCCCTGTTTTTTAATCAGATTCGTACCATTCAACACGCGAACACTTAGTGTAACCTTTCAACACCGCGTTCAAAAATAACGAAGACGCCACTGTTTTAGAAGTCGTGCTTAACAAAAAAACGTCATGACTGAAAATGTTTAGAAGTGAACAACTGGGGAAAATAAAAACTGTAAAACAATATGTTGATACAGGCCATTTGCACTCACCAGTTTTGGAGAAATGTATGATACATTTGTCTTGTGGGCTCCCTGCAGGTGAAGAGTCCGGCACTACAGATCGTGCATCTGACAATGCCCGAGTCACATTATTTCACAGAGGTTTAAAACTTTCAAAAGGCAAGGACCACCAAACCAATGGCAGTTTACAATTAATCAAGTAATGGAAAAGCAGGTTTCCGTAGTGTAGTGGTTATCACGTTCGCCTAACACGCGAAAGGTCCTCGGTTCGAAACCGGGCGGAAACACATTTTATCGCCCGCTGTAGTGTGTCTCTCTAGGTCTTAAATAAGCACTGAGGCATCCATAGAGGCATCCGTTGAAATGCACGGCTAGTATCCGTTGAACGTCGTTTTAATTTCATGAAACGAATCCTCTGTGCGCCCTGAAATTTATCCTGACAAGCTTTTTATATACGGTGTTCTCTATTCTTGGCGAAAATAACAGGAATAATTTTAAACGGACGACATTTTCCCGTCATTCAAAAACGACAGCAGTGCACTGGAATTTTGACAAAGGACCACTTTCACCAGGGACAGAGGTACAGTATTTCGCCATGCAGTTCAAAGCTATTTTAAAAAGGTACTTTCTGCAAGAACTTTCAAGCAAAAAGTCGTGTTTCCGCCCGGTTTCGAACCGAGGACCTTTCGCGTGTTAGGCGAACGTGATAACCACTACACTACGGAAACCTTCGTGACACTTCTGGGAACACTTAGTCGTCTTCATGGCATTTCAGCACGTTTCACCCGCACACAACGAAACTTTTTATCACCCCGGAAATTATGATCCCGAATATAATTCATACATCAGATACATGATTAATACTCTTAAAAAGTAAACAGTTACTTAATACTCAAATATAAAACAAACAGGAGCTGTTTCCGCCCGGTTTCGAACCGGGGACCTTTCGCGTGTGAGGCGAACGTGATAACCACTACACTACGGAAACCCAGCTGTTTCGAGTCCCCTTAGAAGCTGCTTTTTTCATGTTAATATCTTTCACGTATCAGTGAACTGTGCTTTAATTTCTCTCCCTAGTTTCTATGCGACACTCATGATCACATCGTAATGTCTATTAACGGTAAAGTCACTTTTGATTAAGAAAAGGTTCGCTTGGGTAACCGGTCTCTGAACAGCTCGTCATACGCCGCTTCGTGGAAAGTAGTTTTATCTTTCCACGAAGAGGTGTTAGTGGGGCCAGCAGGCGGCGCTCACCCTGCGGTCCATGTGGGTCCTAATGCCCCAGTATAGTGACGGGGACACTATACTATAAACAGGCGCCGTCCTTCGGATGAGACGTAAAACCGAGGTCCTGACTCTCTGTGGTCATTAAAAATCCCAGGGCGTCTCTCGAAAAGAGTAGGGGTGTAACCCCGGCGTCCTGGCCAAATTTCCCCATTGGTTTACCCATCATGGCCTCCTAATAATCCCCATCTATGAATTGGCTACATTACTCTGCTCTCCTCCCCACTGAGAGTTGATGTGTGGTGTGCGTACTGGTGCACTGCGGCTGCCGTCGCATCATCCAGGTGGGGCTGCATACAGGTGGTGGTGGAGCGGAGTCCCCATTACCTGTAAAGCGCTTTGAGTGGAGTGTCCAGAAAAGCGCTATATAAGTGTAAGCAATTATTATTATTATCTGAGTTCTTCCAATGAGAGAGAAGACGCGCAAATATTTTGCCTCCCAATTTTAGCGATATTTTTGGTCACAGGGACCCCAAAACTTTCTTTTTTTTCGTGGAAAGATGAACACCTTACATATTTCTGGCACAAACCCTGTTTTAAAAGTATTTTTCGCTCCAAAAACTGTCTGTATCTTGAGTGAAGCCCTCATGGACTGAAACGCTAATACTGATTCGAAAAGGGTAAGTTTAGTAAGGTTAAGGGTAAGGTTAGTAAATAAAATTGATAAGACTTTTGTCACCAAGTTTCCGTAGTGTAGTGGTTATCACGTTCGCCTCACACGCGAAAGGTCCCCGGTTCGAAACCGGGCGGAAACACAACGTTTTGCTTAAAATTTTTTTTTTTGGCTGAAACATTTGTTAGAAATGCTTAGAAATCTGCCTACCTCGGAATTCATCTCTGTACTGCCACGAAATGTCTGAAATTGATCCAAAACTGGGACCGTGTTGTAAAAAGTACATTGTCTCCTGGGGGACACTAACCTCACTATAATAAAGCGAGAACATAAAACAGAAAGTTAATTCATTGAAAATTTGACAAAAGCCCAGATAAATTGAAATATATGTAACGGAACAAGTGAAACGTTTATCCCATGCTGAAAAGGGAAGAGAGAAAACACAACGTTTCGGTTGGCTGAAGTTTAATTATACTGGGTACATTTCCTGATCAGTTTAAAGCGATCAAGTTTAATAGAAACAATGTTATTGTTGACGTGGGAAAACCAATTATTTTTTTTAACTTCTCGGTGAAGTGCAGAATTCGGTATTTATATCTAAAACTAATATTTACTCACATTTATACATATATGTGTGATACAGTCCTTCTCGAGGCTGATAGTGAAGCACTCTTTGTACAGTAGGTGCCGCTGTTAGTTCTGCTAATACGCCCCAGCTGGGGAAGCTAGGCTCCTAATCCTTGTTAATTGGTCATTAAAGAAACCGAGGAGCCTGCCATTGAAGAATCATCCAGTGGACTGGGTTGGTGAGACACCAGGAACGTAGAGTTTTTTGGGTGACAGGTCAGGACATGTCAGGCCAGTGTCACTGACTGCTCATCAGGGCAAATAGCAGGGCTGTTCATCTCAGCGCCTGGGGCAAATTGAAGTTCAAAGCACGTCTGGGTGTCAAGGAGAGCTCCAACCTGGGCTTCACTGTTATTTCAGCTCAGCTCGCTCTGTTCTTTATCAGTGCAGACTGGTTGCCAACAAAGGAACATCGCTAAAACAATAGGTTACTCAAATGCGTAGTTTACCCGGATTTCCAATCGGTGCGACACGTGTATCAGTCGAGGAAGACTGCAGAAGCTCCTTACTCCTTACCGTTACTGCACTTAGTCAGACACATGTGAAACATATAAACGCAGAATGACCTCTGTTGTACCGGACATTAATTACGGCAACTGCTCCGTAGTTGGCCATGGGCGCCTCTAAGAGGGGCAGATTTTTCAAAGGCAGAGAACACGGACATTTCCAGAGCAACGCCTAGGTATCCAGGAGGGGAAAAAAAAGAGAGAAATCAGAAATTGCACATGAAGTGACTTGTAAAGAGCATGGAAAGATTTCTAGCCGAAGGTGTTGACTGCGGGAAATGGAGGACTACAAAACCCGATCCGTGGAAGGATACAGTGTCAGAGAAAGAGGACATTGCCGAAGGATTAATACAACCTGTCAATTCGTTACACTTCAGTAATAGCGATGGGCTTACAAATCCGCAATACAGTAGA